GCTTTGTGTTTTGAGGGCAGGGTGTGATTTGTTAAAATTTGATTTATGGTCGGTATCTTTCATTTGTGTCGAATAGATTTTTAGACTACTCCGTTCATTATGCAACTTGGGTGGTGGATCCTACTTTTGCTTCCTTAGCGCCATGGTGAATACCATGGCAGTTGGGTTCACTATGCAATTTGCCCATCCTAATGCCTTATTTGCTCTCATCTTGCAAGGGTGACTATTGGTAGCCATGCCTCACTCATTAATGTGCAAGCTAGGTGGATGTCACCTCAACCAATTAAAAATTCGTCATTCTGCTGCTTGCTTGTGGAAGGAAGCCAGATTTGGCTATCCAGATGAGCCATGATGCCAACTCATGTCCGCCTTAATTGTTGCCACTACCATTAAATCTCTTGTAAAAGGAATTTATTTTAAAGAGTCGTGCTTGCTGCATCGTCGCTTCAAGCAGGGTAACCTTCTGGCACCAAAATCCGATGACACACATCATAGAGGCTTTGCTCATATGAGTCATCAAGGAGACAAATTTTGAAGGATAGGGCTATGATAAATCTCTACAACTTCAGCTCAACTAGATAGTTTAGCCATAGACCTTGAAGTTAGTGAAGACCTTTCTTATCGAAAATAAACTTGAAAATCTAAAATGTGTAAAACTTAGTAGCCCAAAAACAGAATTCAAAAAAATCTTTCGGGCAAAGTCAAACTTTCAAACCCTAGAATAAACAACAATCTCCATCTTTTAAGGTTTATTGGACTTAAATCATAGGAAAGAAGCACTAAAAGCCTTGTCATGGGCCCTGAGAACAACATACAATGGGCTACTCACCTTCAGCACTTCAAAGGAATGATGACGGAACAAGAATAGAGGCCGGGACCTTTTGGAAGGATGTCGTTGTTAAAGCTTAGGGCATGGTAAATAGGTGCCATCCATGGAAATTTGTTGTTGGAAATTCTCGTCGATTGTAGTTTCCAAAGAAAAATGGCTTTTTGAATGGAAACCAGTTGGATGGTCCTTTCATCCTCAAAAGAAAGTACTGATATTTATCAGGGAATTCCACTACGATGTAGATGTTAGAATAATTGAAGAGAATTCTATCTCTTAGGTCATGTGGCTAATGAAGTTGTAATGTCTTGGCACTGAAGATTTGTTGGAGGCATCATTTTGACATGGAGAGTTACCAGACTTATGAAGAAGAATATATTTGCAATTAAGATAAGTTTATGTGGTTGATCATAACACTAGTTAGTGTAGTACTCCTGTCTAATGCTCCAACTTAATGCCTCTCTTTCTAAGAGCATTTGCCTTAAGAACAGAGGAATAACTTGACTCTAGAAATGGGGTTTTGTTGTGTGTGTGTGTGTGTGTGTGTGTGTGTGTTTGGTTATATGCAGAAAATGTCTTCAAGTTGCGTCTTTAAGCTGCACACTTACATCTGCCCTTTAGATTTAGCTGGTTGAATCTACTCCAACACCCATTCTGATATCGTACTAGTATAGAGTAAGTGATAAGCTCAATACTCAAATTCATCCGAAGATTACATTGTAACACATTATTGCAAATACCTTAGATCCAGTAACAAAGATGTGTAAGATTTGGCTGATTGAATTTACGTCCAATACCCTTTCTGATATCTTACTAGAATGGAGTGAGTGATAAGCTCAATACTCAATGAACCTAAAATTAGTCTAATCCAGAAATTGTCGTAGCTCGGTAAATGATTATAGTGCGGTCCAACTCATGATTGTTTTGATCTTTTCATTCTTGATTGGTAATAACATGACGTGCTTCCTATCCTTCTTAAATGTGTTTGTTTTCTTTAAGTCGTCATGCTGTGTCTTCCGGTTGAACTGCCACGATATTCCCAATAAAATGTGAAATACGTCCATCAGAATAACATCACAATAAACTTGCTCTTGTATTTGTAATCGCCAATTGAGAATTCAACTAAGCACTGCTGATCTATTTGTATCTCATTCCCTTTTTTCAGTCAGGTGAGGAAATAGGACTGTGAATGTTTTTGTGTGACTAATCTCAACTTTTGCACCATAAGCGTAGACACGATGTTTTCATTGTTTTCACCGTCCATGATCAAATTGCAGGTTTTTTCTTTTACTGTGCACGTGGTGCGAAAGATGCTGTGTTGGAGCCATGATGGGTCTATTTTTGGTTCGGACCATAGGACTCTTCGTATGACTCACATTTCAGCTTCGTCCTTGGAAGTTGAAGTGTTTTTCCGAACTATCTTCCAACTCGACTTCCTCAACTTCTTTAACGACTCCTTTAATGAACGGGACAACTTGGCTTATGGGATAGTTGGCAGCAATGTGCTCATACTGTGGCACATAAAACACTTTTATGTAGGAACGGTTCCCGATGAACTACCATTTTCTGACTTGGTGTCGCTCGAAGAGGTCTTCTAGCTTCCCAGTAGTGACTTGCCAACTCTGGAAGTGGTCTTGTCGGCAGGCGTGGTTGTTGTGATGGCTTGAAGGTATTTTGTCTGAAGAATTACTATGATCGGGCTTGTTTTTGTTGTTGTTCAATCTTTAATGCTAAGATTTGCACATCGCCCAGCAATCAGTAATGTTATGGTTGAACTATGTTGCTAATGGCGGGTTTTATGACCCCAGACAGCAGGCGATCGTGTGCTCCTCTTGCTCGACTAACTTGCACTTCATTTGTAATTGGATAAACTTCACCGTGAACTCCTAACTGTTGTAGGTTTTGAAGCCTGAGGAACATATGCGGGAGTGGCAGATACTTATTCTACATAGCTTTCTTCATTTTTGCCCATTGGGTGATCTTGTTGCTTCCGTCTCGTTTGTGTTTTTGCCCCAAATTTTTTCCGCCATAACGAGGTGCTTTTCTTCAATTTGATATTGCCAATTTTAACTTTTATATTTGGTGACCTCCTTGCATTCGAAGATGCATTCGACCGCTTGCAAACAATCAATGAAATCGTTGGGATCCATGTTTCCTTCAAACTCTGGTAGGCTCATCTTAATGTCTTAGTCTCGATAGGTGTCGAACGAGGGCTCCTCTCGTGGCCTTCTTTGGTAGTGAATGATGAAGCGGCGTTGTCGATATTCATCGTAGTAATTGTCTTCGCGGTGAAAAGAATTCGGTCTCCTCTTCTACTCTCGATGTCGCGGTCGAGGGTAATGTCGCCTTGGGCCCTTTTGTCCATCTAGACCAGTCCTTGTTGCAGGTAACGAATCTCCCATTGTATTTTTTTTTCGGGTTGGGTCTAGCGCATATTGACGCGATGACATGCCTAGGTATGATTCAAAAATAGATGAGAGGACGAAGGAGGAGAAGACAAGAAGAGGAGGGAGAGGAAGAGGGAAGGAAGAGGTTTTTTTTTTTTTTGTGGCTTAGGTTTGGGCGGATACTGGGAACCCTAGGCTAGGACTAGGGTTGAACTAGCTCTGATATTAAATAATACCGGAGTTAACCCAAATCATGACTTGAATGACACATTTTATTACTATAATCAAGAATGTACAATGACGACTCTTTGATGGAACAACACAAGCATTTAAAACAGTAAACAACTATAAATATTACGGGAATAAGAAAAGGGATAACATACAGACAATAACGATCTTTTCTAAGAAAGCGCAACGAATCCGACAGGGGTAATGCTGGAACAACAGTGCTGGCAGTCTGCTGGAGGGAAGTTCGGGATGAGTGGTGGCTACTGGGACGATCCTGACAGGCTGCTGGGAGATGATGGAGGGGGTTGGCGAGCTCCCGGAAAGAGCTTGGGAGGGGGCTGACAAACTTCTAGAAGGGAACTCGAAGGAAGGCAGCAAGTTCGGCGGCCGGCGAGATGGGGTCTACAGTGAAGAGCAATGACCGGAAGGTATTGGAGATGGCAGACGGACTACAGAAGGGTAGATGGCAGCAAGGTCGAAGGGAGGTAGTCATCAACTCAGGTGAGGTACAACCGAAGCATCGCTCATTATCGGTTACAACCCTCAGAATGGAGATGCCTTAGAGGCACACCTGAAATCAGAAATCAACAAAAGATTGCTTTAACCTAAGCAAAACAAGAAATATAAATAGGAGTAGATTAGAGGCTAGCATAGACAAGAACTACGAAAGGAAGGGATTGAAGAAGAGCTGGGGAGGATGGCAACGGCTTTGAGAAAGAGGGGCAGCCGATCATAAGAGGATCACAAAGGGAGAAAGGAGGGGCGGAACTTCCACTCTAAGTAGATAACCGGTCCGATTTAGCAGTGAGGCTAGACCGGGCCACTGCCCCACCATGCCCCAAAACAGCCTCGCTTCATTTCCTAAATTGAATCTTGTGTTGCACGATTATATTTTTAATGCCATTGGAAAAATTGTCTTTCAACTTATTTTACTTGATTTCACTTGTGCATGTAGCATGCTGTGATACTATTACCTCTATATTTTGAATACATATATCATGACCTTTTGTTCTCTACTTTATAGAAGTATTGTTTCTGTGTTAGTTAGAATTTGCTGTTTGAATGATTCCTGTATCTTATTTATTTTATCAATTTTGTAGTTGGTTTTGAATTTTTGGATTTCTACTTTTTTTAACTATGAAATTATGCTACGGTAAGATTTCACTTGTAATAGTTTTCATCCGTTCTTTGTTAAGAATGCGATCCTCTTGCTTTTGTTCCTTGTGTTTTTGTGCCTGAACATCTTGATTGAGCATTTCCTCTCAATGAGTATAGGGCTGATAATATTGTAGAATCCCCAAATAACCATAATCCTAAAATGTACACATAGAACACATTCCGGGCGTTATCTTCATTGCTGATTTCTTATTAAAGAGGAGAGTGTGGTGGGGTCATTGTGCCTTACTGGTTTAGTTACCGTATTTCTGGAATTGTTTAGTTTGATTACTTGTATCTTGTTTAATGCTTTGGGCTTATTTGACTGATTCCTATGGCCCTAAAAGTCAAATAATTTTAAAACTTTTGAGTGTATATTCCTCAGATCATTTCCCTTTGTACAGGCAAGGGACAAGATTATTGGCAAAATGAGAATATTTCTGAGGAGATGCCATGTTGCCGGCAGATGTTTAATATTTTTCATCCTTTTGATCCTGTAGCATACAGGTTTGTTTAATGTGGCTCCTTTTGGAAACTCATTGCTTCCTTTAATCTACTTTTAATGTAAAGCCACTGCTTACGGATTCACTTTGTATGTTTGGGATCAATATAGCATGCATGCATTTTTTTTAGGGACATTTACATGCATACCAGCCAACTCTTATGTATTTACATATTTAATATGTAAACTTTACTTTTTTACATTATACCACCCAAATCTCTCATATCACATCAAAAATACCGCTATTTTAACTGAAATACTCCTTTTCTTGCATAAATAAGGTGGCATGTACATAAAAATTGAAGTTTGGGTATTAGATAGATATGTAAATACATAGGAATTGAGTGGTATGTATGTAAATCTTCTTTTTTTTAATGTTTCACTTCTATATGTAGAATTATTTAAGGTGCGGTAGCAAGGGTTATATGAATTTGGGTTGAACTTTCATGCAGAGTAGAACCACTTATTTGCAAAGAGTACGTCAGCAAGCGGCCTGTTATTATACCATATCACCGGGGAGGAAAGAGGTTGCATATAGGACTTCAGGTGAGCATATGTTTTACTACATATAGACATTTGTTGTGCTATTGTGGCGAGTTTAACTGAGCTGGAAAATAATGGCACAGGAATTCAGTGAGGATGTAGCAGCACGCTCTCAAGCCATGGTGAATAGCTTGAAATCCTTAAAGGTGATTTTGTGAACTATAATGGAAACTACTTCATTTCTTGATTTTGAGCTTCTTCAGTGCTTTCGTTTTTGTTTTAATAGTGGTTGGTTTTGGTGCTACTATTTTTTTAACTCTAGAAAGATGAAATTTAGTATCTTTGCTAGGCAATGCCCGGGAGTTATGTGAGATGCTGAAACATGCAAAAATAAAATAAATTGTTAATTTAAAGCCCCAACTTGAGTTAAAATGATGAAGGATTGATATAATAAGTTTAAACTGAAATGCAAATTAAATTTAATTGAAATTATAAAGTTAATACAAATGTATTTAAAAAAGTTGACCCATATGATTTCTTCATCATTATTATTAGACTTATCGCAAGTATTAGAGGTCAGCATTATGAACCCTTATTTTTGTAACGTAAAATTCAAATTCATACGGCATCAGTATCTTAATTGCAAAGTTATGAACTTTTTCTTTAAGCCCCTATGATATTTGCTTAACGCAAAATATTTTCAAGACTTCTTTTCATACTTACCATATAGTTTAACTTCAGTTATATCCTCATTCAGATCTCAATGCTTCCTTATTATAGATTCAAGATAAATCTTTTCTTCTAGTAATATTAGTAATTAATTGTCAAAATCATACCTATGAAGATTATATTTTTGTTGCACTAATTCTACGGCCCCTATCCTGCAATTTTTTTTGCACAACTTTAATGTTGCACTTATCTTACTAATTAAGATTGTGTCGCCTGCAAAAGGCATATTATAGGGTACCTCCATTTGAGTTTTTTATTAAAATGCTTTCATACAAGAACTTATGAGCTCAATGCTGATATTTAATGTTAACTTATAATAATGAGAATTCTCGAGTTACTTGAACACTACTTATAACATTAGTTAGCGCTCCATTATACACATCTTCAGTAATATTAGCAATTCTTTTACAATGCTTTTTTCGTCCTTAAATCTCACCAAATCAAATTATCATTGTTCTCAACTATATACGTCTCAAGATTATTAAAAATCTTATGGGGATCTGCTTTTTGTTCTATATCCTTGTCCATTAATTATCCTTACACAATCCTTTCTTTTATAATAGATCATTTTGCAATGAAACTGATTGGCTCTTCAAAATTGATATAAATTTTTCTAAACTTATGTTTTATTATTCTCTCCCATATTATAATTTTATGACTCATTAATTTTATTCCCCTATATTTAGCTCAAGCTTGGACATCTCTTTTGTTCATCAATATTCGTCAAACTTGCTATTCTCCATCCATTTGGCATCTTTTTTAGTGGTTATTTGGTTGCAAATATTAGAGGTGTATTGTTTTTTTAAATTTATTTGATCTTTTTTGGTATTTGATTTAAAGCAGAGTGCAAAAGAAAATTTTGAGCTATCAGATGTACTCCAAACCCTCATTTTCCTTGCATTTCAAAATGAATTGAGTCGACCTATTTTTGATATCTCATTCACTCTGCCTCTTTCCTTTGGTCACCACGCTCTTCATTGCACCATTTCTCATTGCTTATCGCTATTGCTGTGGTTACTTTTAATGGATTTGTCTTTGCCTAAGGCTTTCCCATCACTCTCGGCCTGAATGAGGCTTTCCCATCTGGGCTTCTCTTCTCACTGTCAACCACTTTTGTGCCTTGCTATGTTGCCCTCAAATGCTCTTGAGCCTCTCGAACTCGCCCCTTCCCACCGCCTTCCTTGAATGTCACCATTACTCTCACCTTTGGCCTTACACTTGGCCTCATTTGTTGACTCAATTGCCCTACCCTTCCTCTTTGTTACACTTGGCCTTAACCGTGCCCGTTATCCTCTTAACTTGTGCCCATAGCCCTGGAACTAGTCCCGTGGTTCAATATGCCCCCTCCATGTTACATATGAGAGAGAGAAAAAAAAGAAAGATTTTTATGTTTTCAAATGTGTCCTGACAAATTAAAAAATCTTTTGAATTTGTTTGATTTGCATCTAATCAAATTACTCTTGAAATTTCAAATGCATTGCATTTCTTTTTGCCCGTGTTTCAAAAATGCATGCATTTTAAATTCATCCAGCCAAAAAAAACCCAAGACAGTAAAATTTTATAGAATTTTTTTAATTGAATTACCTCAGTTTCCCCCATAGCTCTCGAAATCTCAATATTTATTTCATCTGGACCTAAAGCCTTGCTCTTAATTAACATTTTAAGAGCCAGCCTTTTTTTACATACATTTTTGCATTAATCTATAACGTGCTTCTTTATATTATTCATATGTTCTTCTGGATTTTCTTTCTTTGTACTCGATTTATAATTTCCTAAATCTCTCATTCAAATTGTATATATATATATATATATATATATAACAAAATTAATGCATTTTCTTTATACAATTGATCTTGGCATTTGATGAAATCTAATAATTTCACTAAGAAACAATTTAGAGGTAAGTGATTTGTCAATTTTTACGGTACAAATCAAGAAATGAACCATCTTGAATTTTTTTCATTGATGACCTTCATGCTTAACTTTTATCATGGTGCGCTGGAGACAATAAAAGACACATTCTTTCTATTTGCTTAATATTTTTTCCTAGCTTGTATGTGATGACCCCAAATGCTAGATTTTTCACACCTTAATGATGGACAACACAATCTATCCATTACTACATGGATAATCTCATCACTTCCAGAGTGGGCCATAAGTACTCCAAATATAATTCCTTGTGTAAAATATTCTTGAAAGGAGTCATGAATAATACACAATTTAATTTGAAAGTTGCCCATGCTTAGCATTTAATCGTGATATAAACTTATTTTTGTCCTTGATTTGCTTGTAAATTATATGAAATTAGGTCATAATGAGTAACAGTCATAATGAGTAACATTTTTTTACATTTTTTTATTTTTTTTTTTGCTGGAGCCTTCAGTGATAATTATTATATGAAGTTCATTAACGTATTTCGTTTTGTGTTAAAGCATCAGTAATGCGGAACTATTTTTTATAATGAGTTATGAATGGTGTTATGCTAGACTTTAGATGTTATTTCTGTTATTAATTAGATATTTTGGTGTTGTTATGCTAGACTTTAGATGTTATTGATGTTATTAATTAGGTAATTTAGTGATTTTTATGTTTACTTCTGGGCATGTTGTAGCATGCATGCTAAAGTGCAAGATATTTCCCGCTATAGGCCTTACCATGGTGTAGTGTACCTCTATTTTCGTAGCAAGGCACAATAAAGCAAAGTAGCAGATATTAAATGTGCTGCAGCACACATGCTACTTATTATTTTAGTGATTTATTTTAAACTTATTATTGTTTTTTTTGTCTAAAGCTTTTTAGATATTGTTACTTTGGTGCCTAACCTATGGGCACTTTTTTTCTTTTGTATATTGAAGGGCAATTTATTATTATTATTATTATTATTATTATTATTATTATTGGGTATAAAAATGTTTATCATGTTCAGGGTTAGGGGGATGCATGAGATTGAGGTTTGAATCTTACTTTTATGATTTGGGAGAGATGTTCTACCTCTAGAATTGTTGGTTGAGAGAGATCGTCTACCTCTCGAATTGTAGATGTTTATTTTTATATTCCTGTTGAGTTGTTTGAGTTATTGAAGAAATTTTGTAGTTGCCCTAATTTCTGTGGAAAGCCATCTTGATTTTAACTTTGGATCTTATCAAATTGGTAAGAGTGCAAAATTTCTGAGGAATGGTGCTTGGGCTCGTCATATTATCTCAATTAGAGCTTGGAGGGACATTGCAATAGAGCAAGATGGTTATGATTTTATCGAGCAATGATCGCTACATGGGGAAGGATCGCAACATATAGATAATTTTGTGACTTCACCTTGTGAATCAGTCGTGATCGTTGCTAACTGGAAAGAATCACAGTTTATTGAGATCCGAATCTCACGTACTGTCGTGTGCAAGGGCACGCGAAGGATTGTCGCTTATCGAGACGCAAAGGATCATGTGCAAGGCCACAGACAGCAGGGATCAATATACAGAGATCAAGAATGCCCATTTTTCTCTTCCTCTCTCGTCATCTACTCGATACAATCGCGATCAAGGCTATCTGGGAAGGCAATGACTAGGGAGCGGCGAACAGACCCAAAACTCTCATTTTTCTCTTCCTCTTATGTCGTCTGCTTGATACAGTAGCAATCAGAGCTATCTGGGAAGGCAGCGACTGGGAAGCGGCGTATAGAGACCCGAAACTCCTATTTTCCTCTTCCTCTCGGGTTGTTTGTCCGATAAAGTAGCGATTGAAGCTACTTGGGAAGGCAGCAACTGGGAAGTTGCGTACAGAAATACGAAACTCCCAACTTTCATACACTTACGATTGTTTGTTTTGTAACTCCCACTCCCATTTTTTTTCCTGTTCCAGCTCTTCCCTCGCGCAACAGTCGTGATTCCAAGCTAGTTAGGAAGATAGGACCGCAACTACCAGACACTTACGATTGGAGCTACTTGAGAAGCCACGATCAGATTAGAGTGATCTTGGATCACTGACTTGCGAAACAGTCGCTATATTCTTCTCATCTGGAACTAGACGACGGATTTCAGCATAAAAAAATTGTCTTTTGTAATAAAAAAAATACTGAGAATAATGGCAGCCAAGAAAGCAGATGATTCAGAGAAAAAATAAGAGGAAGAGATCAGTTAAATTAGATATGGGATGGAGGAAAGGTTTGCCACCACAGAGTATAGGTTTTCTTTTATAGAGAACCAAAATGGATGACTGATTTAAGAGAATGAAGGAAATTCGATAAAGAAGCTCATTGAGACGCAATCCAAGATCTCACTGGATGCTCAATTTGCAAAATCTAAAGGAAAAGAGATCGAACTTGAGGAACATGAGGAGGAAAACATCCACTATCACGAATCCCCTCCCAGGGCTTCGATTAGGGTTAGATTAGAGATTTCTGATGGAGATGGTTGGGCCGAAACATGGAAAAGAGATTGTGCAAGAGGTATAGGGGAACATGAGAAGAAATGAGAGAAGCAGGGAGGGGATACAACTATGATTGAAGGAGAGAGTTTCACCCTCGATATATTGGGGGAAACAATGGAGGGAGAGAAAGTTGGAGTGGAGATGCTATATGAAGTTGAATATGCTGATCTTTGAGGGGAGGACACATGGGTGGGTGTATCGGGTGGAGTGATACTTCATGGTGAATGGGTTAGATCGGGAGGAGAATCTCATGGCGGTAGGATATGTTTGGAGGGGAAAACCCTAGTCTGGTTTCAGTTTAAGGAAGGCTAGATACCCTATCCGTTCGTGGGATGAATTTAAGGATTATTTGTTGGAACGTTTCTGAGTCATTCGAGTAAAATATCTGCACGAGCAATTCTATGCTTGGACTCAGGAGGGGACGGTCATGGAATATAGGTAGAGATTTAACTATAGTCAGGACGTCTGCGTGGGATTTCTGTAGCAGGGCTGGAGGGAAGTTTCATGAAGGGCTTAAAGCCCAGTTGGTGAAGGGCAAAAGCCAGCAAGAGCAGCACAAATGGAGCATCGTACCAAACAATTACAACCTCGACGATACCAAAAGCTCAAACAATAGAAGTCCAGACTAAGGCTGCACGGGACAAAAATAATGGATCGCCACCGAGAATGACACTCAAGCGCATTACTGAGACAGAGATTCTGGAGAAGTAAATGAAGAGATTATGTTTTTGGTGTGAGGAGAAGTTTACTTCAGGACACCGTTGCAAGGATCGAAAATTACAAGTTCTCATAGTACATTACGAGGAGATGGTACAGGATGAAGAAATAGACATTTGTGGTGGAGAGGGAGGAACACTCTCTTTTTTTTTTAACCTTAAGGACAAGATGATTTTTTGGGCGTGGGGGAGTATTGTTATGTTAGTGCTTAACCTAAAAGCAATTTATTCTTTTGTTTGACTATGGGCAACCTAATCTTTTATTATTATTTTATTGTTGGGTATAAATAGGCTTATTATGTTTAAGCTTAGGGGATGTACGAGATTGAGTTGTGAGCCTTAGGTTTAAGGATTGGGAGAGATTTCCTACCTCTCGAATTGTAGGAATTGGGAGAGATCACCTGCCTCTCAAATTGTAGGTGTTAATCTTTATATTTTTGTCGAGTTGTTTGAATTATTGAAGAAATGTTGTGTTTGCCCTAATTTATGTGGAAAAGCATATTGATTTTGATGTCGGATCGTATCAAGTATATTAGGGCTATAAGCCAATCAGGATTCACGCTTACTAAAGTTTCTAAAAGGATCCCAATTCCCAACTATTTCGGTTCACATGAAAACACAATCGATAAGAATTCTAACTATATAATTTTTGGAGATTAGTAGTCTGACTAATGAATAGGTTACTATATAGTGCAGCGATTTTTTTAACCCAGTGGTGGAAAATAGAATTTTGGGGTGAAAAAGTTCTTCCCATCTTTTACAGAAAAAGTATCAAAATTGTAATAAAATGGACTTATGAAGGCTGGGCAGGGTGAGAAAGGTTAGAAATTAATGTGATAAAGTTTCATACATGTTTGGTCAATTTCTAAGTTATCTTGAATTTCTCGGAACTGCTTTGTTTTTTGTGGAAATCTTTGAGAGATGATCAGCATACTGAGAAATAATGTTGTCTAATTTTGTTGAATGCGATCCGTGTCTGCTCTTTTTTGCTTCTTAAAATGTTTTCAATGTTGCAACACTGGCACTATATTGTCATTTGATTGTTAAAACGTCTTTAAGAATTTTCTGAAATGTAATTTACAATTCTCCTTAGTTGCTCATACATGTTTGGTCAATTTCTAAGTTTCATAGATGTTACTGTTTTATGTTCTAAAACGGTTTTTTTATGATATTTCTACTATAAATACTGGATCTAATTTGGTTTGGTTTATTGTGCTAAACTATCCTCTATTTTAATAGGTTAAAATGATTAATGTGTTTCAATCAAAACATGAGTATACTTTGGAAGGTAAGTGTCATTTCATGCTTGTGTTTTCATTTCGTTACTATTGTTCATTTTGTTTCTTTCATTGTTTGAAATTTTCTCATGGTACTCTACATGCACTACAAGCAGTTGAAGATAATCAAGAAAAAGAACAATCATATGGCGCCGCCATGATTGAAAGACTGATTGGACACACGAATGGTAGAATTGACCACGTCCTTCAGGTTAGTTTCTAGAATGGTGAACTACACCTTTACATACATACGACCCAATTCTTATCTATTAACATATCTAACACCTAAACTATAGTTTTTTACATTCCAACCAAATCTTTTATATATATAAAAATACCACTATTTTAGCTTCTAAAAAAGTGAAATACACCATTTAATGCATAGGTAAGATAGCATATATGTAAAATTGAAGTTTAGCTGTTGATATGTTATTTCTTAAGAATTGAGTAGTAATGTAAATAAATCTTTCTTTTTTTTAAGACCAATAGACTAAAATTTAATTTTCTAATTAAACTGTTATGTCAATAAAAACTTTGTTTGTTTCTGCTATAAGATGTGCAAGACAAGGTCGATTTTCTGTTGCATTGCTTACTACTTTGTTAGTTCCAGGCCTTGAATGATATGATTCTAATAGATGTTTAAACAGAATTTTTTTTATATTCGACAAGTGACAAAATCAACCTTTTGAAAGTGGCACTTTTTAAGCATTTATCCCAAAGAATATATAGTATGCATAATAATGCATAAATTATCTCTCTTTTTTTGTGCTGCATTTAACCAGCTAATGTTTTATTAGTAACAGCAAATTATCTGAGCGATTTTACCTTTATGATGCATTTCTGTTTTCATTAAATATTTAAATGCTATAAATAGGCTATTTCTCCCTATATTTTTGTAGTTCTGCATTAGCGGAGTCATGGTTGTGATGGAGCTTTCTTTTAGTGATAGGCAAATGCATAGTGTTTGTCTAGGGCTTTTTCCTAGCCCTACTATTTCTCGGTTAGCTACTTGATCTCCTTGATTATGTTTTATAAATATTTGACTGTTGATCGAATTCAAGGAAGAAACATAGGCTTTGTATGCCCCTTTGTATAAGCATTATTTTTACATTTTTTTTATATGAAATCTATTGAAATTGTTCAAGAGGTCTTGTTGCACATGCCCCCAAAATTTTCATTTTTTTTGAACTACTACGTGGTGATCTCTGTTGAAATTCATTATTTAGATTATCCATTTGAATGTTATTTTTTTGCTTGATACCTGATAAAATCATATTGAAATTATATGAATGTTGGCATACCTAGTTTTATAGGTGAGGTTTATGGTGAATAATTTTAACTGCTAATGAAATGTTATATGAAAATGTATATTTTCCCATTAAAGCGTCTATATATAGTGATGCCGGATCTAACCCAAACCAAACGGAAAATAGAAACATTATTTCTTGAATAAAAAAGAAGGTTAGAGACACGACACTTCAAATAGGAAAATAAGAACACAAACATAATAGGGTGTGGGCGGCGGAGGTGGAGCTGATGCTGGACAACAGTGAGGGTGGACTGATTGTGATGTTGCCTGATTGATGGTTGTGGCTGGAAGGGTAGGAGGCAAGGGTGATGTGAAGGATAGGGAAGCAAGGGGTATGGGGAGGGGTCTGTGCAGCTAGGGAGGAAACTGTAGCAAGGTGATCGCGGGAGAGGATGGAAACCACAGGAAGGTTACGGGAGAGGAGGAACGACAGTAATATCATGGAAGAGGAGGAAAGCATGTGAGAGGGAGGAACGGCATCAAGATTACGGGAGAGGGGCTGCAGCGAGGTCACGGGAGAGTGGGCTGTAGCAATTAAGCGGGCAAAGGAAGGAACAAAAGTTGTGGGATGGGCGGGAATAGGGAGTAGTACGGGCTGGCTAGAAGAGATACAGGGGACCAGCAGCCTCAGCAAGTGCTGCGCTGGAAGAAGGCAGCGAGTCGGGGAGGGAGGATGTGAAATGAAAATAGGAAGTTTTCTAGATTCTTCTTGTCTTTCCCACCCTTTCCTTTTGTGTAAAAGTTTCTTGGGAGTCTATAAATTGTTGTCCTCTGTGTGTAGGAGTTAGTTCTGGTTGTCTTATCCTCAAATCTTCTGTATGGAGTCTTTTTCCCCCTGCTAGGGTTATCCGACTATAGGTGGTGCTTGGGTTGTATCCTGCTCTGAGGTGATGTTGTATCCTTCCCATCTCCTCTACTTCTTCTCTCCGACCCTTCTTCTTCCTCTCCCCTAGCCGCTGACCACCCCATGTCCCTTCACTTCTCCGCCATCCCCTTTTCTCCCTCCACAACAGTGCTGTCCAGCTTGCCTACAACCAACCAAACCCTATCCCAACCCACCGCAAACAATCACCCGGCCTTTCCATCTCTCCCTATCAACCTGTCGCTGCTACCACTGCCTTCAGATCTCTTCCTATAGTCCTAACAGGAAATTAGTGTATTATTGTAGTACCTTTCTAATTGGGTCGTGTTGTAACCCAATTTCTATATTAATAAAAATTTGCTTTTGTGTTTATACTATTTTCCTACTAGTTCCGGTATGAGTTACCTGCATTAATGTTCTCTACTTATGTAGAATGTGCTAGCCCTAACTGAACATATAAACATGATACTCAATATTAATAGCTATTATGATTTTAAAGATAAGCACGAGTTTGGTTGTGTTTAGTTAGAAAATATGACTCAGAAAGCAGCTATTTTGTACTCATTTTTTAGTTTGAAAATGACGTCATCATTTTTGTGAAATTTTAAGGAAACTGGGTTTGAAATCGATGTAAATTTTTAATTATATCCAAAAGATAGATTTGAAAGAAAAAAATCATCAATAAAAGATACATTTCTTTGAACTTTGACCAATTGCACCCACCCTCAGGTGAGCACGAAGTTTAGCTTTTCTAAACCAGTTTAATCTTATGTAAATATTTATCCTAGCTGTCAAAATCGGCCTTAAAAAAAATCTCAGTCAAGTTTCAAAGATGCAGCATGGTAAGGGCTATTGAAAATAGTATAGAACGAAGGCGATTACATCATTAAACGAGATGTATCAAGAGAAAATAATGTATTGAGATGTGCCAGACAAATTAAGGCTCAGCATCTAAAAATAACTACAATTAAAAACCCCCATCGGAATACTTAAAGCTAAATAAATTCTTACAAAGAATGCCCATTATTTAGTAAATTGTGGGAATGTTAATTGATTGGAACGCTGGTCAATGAAAGAAAATTTAAGAAAGATTGGCTTGTCAATGGCAACGGCCTTTGTTATTGGTCTATCTCTTGCCGATTTCTTCTGTAAGCGGATTTTGCCAGTTTAATTTATTAGATTTTTTTTTTTCAAGCTGCTCATCTTTTTTACGCTGCTCAGCATTCCTGTTAATTGTCATTTCAGTAATTTGCCTTTTAAATTTTGCAGAGTAAAACATTTCAGCACCCATACATATTAGCTCTTGGGTCCCACACGTAAGACATTTTATACAAACTTTTTTTTACCATTCTAAACTTCAATTTTTATTTTGTCATGATAGGATGTCGGTATGATCTGTGAAATCGTCTGACATGAATCTCTTTCTAGGCTTGTTTTCACAATGGAAGATTTACATATATACCACTCAATTCCTACTTATTTAAATATCTAACACCTAAATTTCAATTTTTACATAAATGCCATCTTACCTATGCATGAAAAGGTGTATTTTATTTTTTAAAAGTTAGAAAGGTGGTATTTGACATAATATGAAAGATTCGGATGGTTTAAATGTAAAAAAATAGTGCTTAGGTTTTAGATATGTGAATATACAAGAATTGGGTGGCATGTATATGAATGTCCCTTGCACAAAATTGGTATATCAGAGTAATTTTGAATCTTTTGGCATCCGGCTGACATAAAATACATCATATAACCTGCAGAAATTATTGGCGTGATCCTGACACTGTTCTTTTCATTCTTAAACACCTGTACCGTGATATTCCTGAATCCCTTCATGAAGAAACGAGTACTGGCAGTTCGCATATTAGCAATGGAGAAGAAACTCCTTTCTACGAGAAGGATTTTCTCGATGAAGATTTTTCTTTGACATTTTCAGATCCTTTATGGTTCAGAGATTTTTGTAAGAAATCAGATAAAGCTATGCCATACCCTTCAGAAGCGGACGGGTAAATGCATGTATTGTATCGCGAACTCGTCCCAGTGAGTACTTTTCCTCTTTGCCTCTTCATCCTTGCTAGGGGTGTAATTGAGCCAAGTCGATTCGTGAGCACCTCCAGCTCGGCTTGATGAGGTAACGAGCCAAGCTCAAGCCAAGCCCTGACTCTGCTGGTTACCATGTGGCTAGCTTTTTTCAAAAATAATTAATGTTAAATGTCCTCAAAATATATTATTATTCAAAATTTTATCTTTAAATTATTAAAAAAAATTTAAAAATATTATTTTATATTTTACAGTAAGTGATTTTGCATTTTCTATCTTTTAATTGCTAATTTTATTTATTATTTTATTATAACATTAATTTGTATTAATATTGTTATTTCTCTTATAGAAAAAAAAAAGTAGGCTCGTAAGCCAGCTCGAACTTGTAGAATTAAGCTCAAACTTGATTAATTAATCGAGCTCAAGCTCGAACTAAGAGTGACTCGAGCTCGACTTTGGTCATTTACAGCCCTCTTGCCTAAACTTCTTTTTTCTACTTCTGTGTTTATCATGTTGCCAATCGGCTAAAGTAACAACAATTTTAATATTGACATAATTGAGGGGCTGATAATGGCAAACTTGTGCAGGGCATGTAATCCGCTGTTCTGTGATATTCTCGCCATCTACATATTATCAAAAAATCACTCAAGAGAGGTATGTGATCCGCTGTTCAAGTCATTTGCGTGCATTAAGATTAACTTTCTGTGTTTTGTAACATGGAAGTGAGTGGTGAAGCAAATGGGTTGTATTTGTATATTCTTTATTATAGTTAATAACAAATATCCACATTGAACCCTTCATGTAAACTACTGTAAGTATTTATAGATATCCACTCTGAATACTAAAGAAACTAACAAAGAATTCATTCTCTGAAACTTTCAGTTAGCTTTGTTTGAGTTGGATATAAAGTTGACTTTAAAAGTTGCATGTGTGAGGTTGAATTGGTTTAATTGGGTTTGGAGACTCCAGATTGAATGGGAACATAATTGAAGTTTTAGATTGTGCTCTAGTTGAACATAGCAAGCTTAAAAATGAGATCGCTCGGTACATAGTTATGCGTGACTCAGCTCGAGAATGCGTCAAATAAGTTGTAGCTTTGGTTTATATAAACTCGAGCTAAACAAGATTGCTTAAACCCATCTTTTGGTCAAATGTTCAGTAAACCAATCTTAGGGGATGTTTGGTAGCCTATTTTTAATAAGATTTAGTCATGAATTTAACTTTAGCCAAACAAAAAAAAATTGAAAATTAAATCCAATGCTCCATTAAATGAATGTTTTCCAAATTTCGTCTCTAAATCTCACTTTTTGTCTGTAAACCTCACTTTCCGTCTCTTTTGCAATGTAAATTTGGATTCGGATTTAATAAATTTGATTGATAGGTAGATTACGGGTTGTAATGTTCGTCAACGTCGACATGGCAATCGAATTTATTGAATTTGATAAATCCTATTCAATGTAAATCCATGTTACAACCAAGTGCCACCTTAATCTCATTTGTGTTTGTGTTTGGTCATTTGACAATATTTTGTTTTGGCTTGTGCTCTATATCGCTACAGTAGAATAACAAATTATTGTCCTAGCGTTGTATGAGAATTCAGCACACACAGATAAAAGAGAAACAAATAGTGACAGCTCCAAAAGTTTCTACGTGGAAAACGCGTAAAGGGAAAAACCATGGAGTCTGACCAAGCTGTGAAGATCCACTATTGATTGACGATGATTGGTGGTGGCGGTCAATAGCGACGGTGGTCGGCGGTGGTCGACGGCCGTTTGGAGGAGGTCAACTGCGATCGACGAAAATTGGCTGTGGTCGACGACAGTCGGCGGTGACGTTGAGCTGCAGCTCCTCCTCAAGGCCTCATACTCTCTCTCTAGGCTTAGGCTTTGTTTGGGGCCGCTTTTTCACGCGGCGCGGCCCCAAACAGCAAAAAGTTACTATTTGGCTCCCGGCCTCGCGGCATATGGACGTCAAAGCGGGGGGAAAGCGGGCCGCGGGATCGACCCTGCAGCCCCATCTTTCACCCGATAAATATTCCAAATTGTCGCCTCTGCCCTAGCGTTCTTCTTCCCGCGCCGTCTCGCCTCTCGCCTTCGACAACTGCCTCTGCCCTAGCGTTTTTCTTCCCGCTCGACATCTCGCCTCTCGCCTTCGACATCTGCCTCTGCCCTAGAGTTCTTCTTTCCGCGTCGTCTCGCCTCTCGCCTTCGACCAGGACCGTGCCCTATCGCCTCTCGCTTTCGACCAGGTAATCCTAAAGCCATTCTCTTCACTTTTTTTCGATCTCTTCTCGCCTTCACTTATTTTCGATCTGCTTGAAAATCTTAAATCATACAAAACTTTAAAGAGTTCGTCCATATTTTTTTACAAGCGTGTAAGCTCTGCAAAATGGATATACAATGCAGATTTGATTTCCATCATTGGAGGGGCTACTCATTTATTTTCTGCTCTGCAAACTGGATGTACGATGCAGATTTGATCTCTAATCTGGAGTACATCACTTTGAACAGGTGCTTGATTGTAAATTCCAGTGGAATTAAAAGGTTTAACAGATTTGTTCCGTAGGCTTCCAACTCTCTTGTTTGATTTTCATTCATTAACAGTTTTGCCCCAATTCAAGAATAGATCTGCGAGTTTTCTTCTCTCAAATAATTTTGCAATGCAAGCTTCTCTAGCATCCTTCATATTTTTTAGAAAATGTATTTTTAATTTGTGCATCTCGCTCATATGTTCCAACTCCCCAATTCTATAACCATTCGCAAATAATTTTGCAGTGCAAGTCTCTATAATCGATCCCTAACATTAATTTTACTCTTGTGTTTCATGACTTTGTTTTGTTATAGTAATAACATGGATAATGAGCCTAAAGAGGTTGCTACACCCGCATTGTGTGAAAAAGTCACGAAAATAATATTTTGTGATCTTTGTCTTAAAGAGATTAGGCCTACGACCTATTTTCCATAAAGAATGGTGGCAAAATATTATAAAAAATTTCAAGGAATGTATAGGCAGGGAATACGACAGGGTGCAAATGAAGAATAAGTGAGACCAAATGAAAAAGGAATGAAAAATTTGAAAGGAATTGAAAATGGGTTCTACCGGTCTTGGTTGGGATGCAGTGAAACGAACAATTGATGATGCAGTGAAACGAACAATTGATGCACCTGAGGAATGGTGGGCTGAAAGACTTGTGGTGAGCTTTGTTTGTAAACTTGTTTATTTTGTAACTTTATAGTTTATTCTAATTAGGTGTTCATCAATTTTTGTGTAGATGGTGTCTGCTGCGAAGAAGTTTAAGTTTTCTAGAATTGAGCCTGAATTGGAGAAGAAACTCGATCGCATGTTTGGGGGAGTGGTTGCAACGGGGAACTATGCATGTAGCCCAAGCGAGACAGGGTTCACTGGCAATGCTGTGAATTTGGGAACCCCTAGAGGTTCAGTTGATTTCATTGACATCTCCAGCCCGAATCAGAACGAATATGAACCCATTTTCCGTTCCAAACGTTCGAGGTTGTTGATAAAAGAAAATGTGGTGCATCTTCCCTCAGAAACGAGCTATCTGAGGAGGTTTCTTGTTTCAAAGCAGAATGTTAGGCTTCTCATTCAAGCACTATCACGGAGGCACTTCAAATCCTAAGTGCTACAACCGAAATTTATGCGGATGAAGAGTTGTATCTGTTCGCAGCATAATTGATGGAGGACCCGGTCTATAGAGATATTTTTGTGCAGATACCTGTCGCCAGCAGAGTGACTTATATTCGGCGTTTTTATGATCATTTGAACGTTTGAGATGTTTTATATTTGTCATCACTAGAACAATTTCACTACATTATCTATTCTTTTTATTTCTAGAGTTGTACTCGTGAACTCCGTTGTATATTTCTAATTATTTGCAAACATTTCTTTTTTTTATTGTCTCAAACTCTCATCTAACTGATAATTATTTAGGGGAAACATTTAGGGATACTCATTACTATGGATGCAAATAGAATCTTAAATTCTTAAACCATACAAAAATCTACGCAAAACTGTTAATGAATGGAAGTCAGACAAGGGAGTTGGAAGCCCACGGAACATTGTTAAATCTGAGTTAGATGTGAATTTGCTTGAAAATCTTAAACCATACAAAAATTTAAAGAGTTTGTTTGCTTGAAAATCTTAAACCTTTTGGGCAGCTTCCCCACCTCAAGTTGCTGTACCTTTGTAACATGCCAAAAGCAAAGCGACTTGATTGTAAATTCCATGGGAATTACAAGGTTTATGTGTTTCCATCGTTGGAGGGCATGTTCACTCTCCCGGGTAAGTTTGAGTGTGAGGATATTGAAGTAATAAATGTTGTACAGACCTGCTTAAATTTGTTGTTGCTTAAGTTGCCAACTTTGGTGTTTAATGTATTAATTGCTACATTTTGTTTAATTAAATGGTTAGTGACCTGTGAAGCTGTAGATGAAGTTTGGTTGTGGGATGGAAGGAGCGCAGCTTTCTCTGATTAGTTGTTTTGAGCTCTCTATTAATCTGAACTGAAACTTCATGCTCCTTAGTTCTTTACAATTTGGAGAATGTGCTCCCCACTTAGCTCATGAGACTTTAAAAAGTAAGAATTTGGTAATAATTTGAATGAATTCAGTTGCAAGGATGATTTAAAATCTGATTAGAAAGATGATTTTTATGTTGAAATTTGTGATGAAGCAGAATCATTTATATTCTACCTTTTTGATGTTGTTTTGGGTTGCTACTACTTGGTGAGCAGTCATAAGATTAAAAATGTTGCAGTCATAAGATGAACCATACCAGTAAGTTCCTTTGACAGTTGAGTAAGATTGTGAGAAATGATTGAGGATAGGTGCCAGTTTTGTAAATGTTTAGCTATTTTAAACATCATCATAAATCATTGTATTGTAGTCTGCTCTTCAAAATTATCATTTTAATATATATAATTAATGTTAAGATGAGAAATTTTATTCTGGAATTAATATCAGTTTTAATTAAACAAAAAAATTTTATTTAATTTTTTTGTTCATGCGCTATAGCAGCATTAGGGGAAAGTAGAAAGACAAGCATCAATTATTATGTGGTGATGTGCTTTAAGAAAATTATATATAACGTTATATAATTATTCATATTTATATACATATAAAGATATATAAAACATGTATCATTAATTGTCCCATCTCATAAGTCCCTTTCCGTGAGCTACTGGTAGACCGAAACATAGAGCAGTCTGGGGAAATGGAAGAAAAAGATTATATGACATATTGAATGAAAGTGTATATATATTGCTATATTTGTAACTTGCCACTTGTTAATTAATGTTTGTTTTAATGAAAAAAGGTGCAGTTTTAACGAATTTTTGGTTAATTACCACTGCATTTACATACATACAACTGCTGATGCATGCCATTGGAGTTCAGCTTTTTGGTTAATTCTATGGTACTACTTCATAGTTGAACGAATTTTAAAAAAACTAAAGCTAGGGGCATATAAATGAATGCGTTTATGAATCTAAACCAAATCAATCGAGTATGTATTAGATATGTAAATACTTCAGAATTGAGTGGCATGTATGTAAATGGTATTTTGGGTAATTGTCACAATGAAAATGGCCTTTGACTATCATCTATATCTTCTGTTTTTTTGCGCATTCTATTTATTTTTATGTCGGTGGAGTTGGGGAAATCTGAATGCATGCAGATGTCGTTATCTCATTTTATTTGTTCATACTCTGTTAGAATATTGCATTAAATTTTGATATCCGGATATATACGCAATGTATTTTGAGCATTCTGTATATTTACGTTGTATAACAGCAATAAGAAAAGCTTTTTTGTTTGGGATGAACTTTAACAAGCTGGACTCAAAAATTTGTGTTAAAAGCTGGTCATAATTTGGTGCTGGAGTTTCAAAAATTTCACAATTACAGTCCTCTTTTAAACAGTTTTAACAAACAAAGGCAGAATGTTCATTTTTCCAAAAACAATTGCACTAAACAGATAGTCAGCTTCCCCGCAGCAGCTTCCTGGGGCAGCGCAACTGCAGCTGAAAAACTGGGAAGCTGCAACTGCGCCAAACAGAGCCTTAAGCTCCTTTCATGAGAGGGAAAAATTATTGCGTGCGGACACCGCACTCAATTTTGAGTGCGGTGTCAGATCAGGACCGTGGAAAAATTAGAGTGTCTCACTCTAACAATAAAAAAAATAAAAAAATATATTTCAGTGGTCATGATCGGACACCGCACCAAATTTGTGTGTGGTGTCCGTACGCAATAATATTTATACTATTTTGGGTGTATATAATGCAGAAATACGAATCATTTTGATCGGGTGGTCTGGATAGCTTCCTTCAATCAGGTCGTGTTTAATAGACATTTGGATGTCTTAAGATGTTGGATTTAGTGATCTTAAGCTCATTGGATTCGTCTTGTCGAGACACTTGCTTTGACTATGAATTTGTCTGATTTGACATTAGTTTGACCTTTCCAAATGAGTTTGAAAATCTTTTAAAAGTGGTTTAATGACTTGATCCAGGCTTAATTTGACTCGGATTTGACTGACTATGATATCATTAGGTCTGTCTCATTGAGTCGGTCAGTTTGACTATAAGTTTGCTGAAATCGAAGCTCATGGTGACTTTTTATCAAGATTTAGGTTTTGTTTGGCGCAGCTGCAGCTTCTCAGATTTTCAGCTGCAGCGCAGCTGTACTATCTCAGGAAGTTGTTGCAGGGAAATTGACAACATGTTTGTTACAGTTGTGTGAAAATAACTGCGGAGCAGCTGTTTCTGGAAAATTATCCGTTCTACCTCTGTTCAGTAAATTTGTTTGTAACAGAACTGTGACACTCATTTATTTAATAATTCTAAAGCAGAAATTCAAAATAATGATAAATCCAAACCAAAACTTCTAAGAATTAAAAGGATGTGTAAATAGATACAAATCTGTAAATGTTAAAAGTCTTCAAAATATTTAACAAAAGTGTCTGTAGAGATCTAAGAAGGATGTAGAGATCTAAGAAGGAAATTCCAATAATTAACTATAAATCTTGAAAAAAAAATTCATAAAAAAAAATTCCATGATAATTAGCATCAAACGAATGCTGTTATCTTCTAGACTCCAACAAAAAATGTGTGAACTTTGTCTTTCAGTTCAATCCAACTCACCCCAGGTTCCTTCTTCACCATGGTTTCCTTCATCAGTTTTCTCATGCTGACAACATTCCACATTCCAGCTGAAGCATAAATATTGGCGAGGATCACGTGTTCCGGACATCTCTGATTTTAGCATGAGCAGCATCTCAGCTGCTTTCATGCCTATTTCAACATTGTTATGAACTCTGGAAGTCCCCAGCAGAGCCCCCCCCCCAACCCCCCGACCTGCTCCACTCGTCACCTGCTCGCCCTGGCGAAATATTTTCGGGTAGGGTAATAGCGTAAAAAGCCGAATGAGGAAGCCGAGCCGCAGGTTGATGTTGGTGTTCCGCTTTCGGGACAAATTGCGGCCCGCTGCAAAGGCACAGCCGCCCCAAACGGTAAATTTAAGCGGCGCGGCACCACGCCGCATCCTTTCCGCTGCGCCAAACGCAGCTTTAAACATTTCTTACTTAAAATATCATCTTAAGATTTTTGTTATGCCTCAAGATTCGTGCATGATGAAAATTTACTGGTGGCGTTTCAAAGATCAATATGTTGAATTTAAAGCATTTAAACTTAGAAGAAATTTGCTTAGGCCGGAGTAAAATGTCATTCGGATTATTTGTTACTAACATGACTGGGATATTAAATTTACCGTTGACATTTGCCCAAAATATTCTTTTAAAAGAAAGAGCTGATCAAAAAATTGAGTCCAAGTTTTCACGTGTATGTTGATTTATTGATGTAATAAAGTTGCGTGTTCATGTAGGTTTGATCTATTATGTTTGGTTCTGAGCTAAACACCGCATTTGGGTGACCCATCAAGATTAAATGATTCGAAGATTTTTCACATAAATTGTGTAAGGATAAGTTAGAAAAGTATTAGTTTTATTTTAAAATTGCTGTTTTATATTTATATATACATATATGAAGAATTTATTTATATTAATTTTAAAGTCATTTCTTACCTAATGTTTTCACATAATTTTTTTTTTAATGACTGTATGTTATGATACACGAATAGTTCTAACGAGGGAACCATCAGTCTCAGACAATTCTCGAACTGGCATTCTCTGGATATATCCCTAACTTGTCTGATTTAAATAGTATTGAAATAAAAAAAAAATGAGGGGGTGTTTTAGATTAGTTAATTACTTTTTTCAAAAAATATATTTAAACATTCATCAATCACTCGATTAAGCAGTTTGTCAATCACTCGTCTGCTATTAAAACTATCATGTTGTTATGAACATGATAGTTTTTGAAAAGTGCTGCTATTAAATTTTTTATTTTTTATTATTCTTAATAACATAGATATTTAATTATAATATTTTTTTTTTATGCATTTCTGGGTCCTATATATTTAATGATAGAAGTGTCATGTGTTCATGTCGTGTGTCATGTGTTCATGTCGTGTTGGTGTCCATATGTTTGTATTTGTTCAACATAGACCATAAGCAAATCTCCTACCAGTGGCTCAAATTAATTTCTTTGAAGTGAAAAGTACATTGTTTGCCCAATATTTTTAGAAGTGTGTATCATGAGTAAAGCGAAGCAAAGTATGTGACCCCCGTTTTGCTTTATTGAGGCGCGTTTTGAAACACTATAGTCAATTTGTATGATTTTCTTGCAATTTTTAATTTTTTTATTATTGCAATATATTAGATATTGTTTGAAATTTTAATGTGCAGATTTACCATGAATATTTTTTTCAAGTCATGTATTATGTCAAATCAACTATTAACACATGCTTTATATTTTATAATCTTTAATAAATTCATTTATACATTAATAGTTTTGTATACCTATTAGCATTTTGGTTTATAAAAGCAACATGCTTTGCTCTCTGCTCTGTTTTGAATCAAAAATAAACGCATTGCATTACGTTTTACATTTTGATAACTCCGATATATCTGCGAATAGAAGATATTGGCAAATGAGCTTTAATATCTACAATGGTTAAAGATATCATTATGATGTTAGCTTTATTGTGAAAATTGGAACAATTGTGGCATTGTACAAAGTGAAGTTAAATAGATATAGGTCCAAGGAAATCCCCTCTAATTGTTGCCATTACATGAAACTCTCTATCCCACTCAATCCACCTGATTGCATCAACCCTAAACCTCACCTTAGTTCCCTTCACCATTATTGACTCCAAACACTCATTCACAAACATTCCCTCTTCTTCCATGACAAATTTGTAGTCTTCCATCATCTTTTCTGGGAGAAAAATGCTTTCAATCGGCTCAACTTTGAGAAATATGCCGTGCTTCACAACCCTGTCCACGAAGCCAATTAAGATCTCGCCCTTGCGGGGTTTCACGGCAGTGCAGCTGAAGGATACTGTGAAGATGATGGCTTCGCCGTTAAGCTCGCCAGCTTCTCCTTCATCCGTGGAGTCGTGAATGGTGGCTGCGACATAGTAGCCGTGTTTCTTCGATGCTTTCTTGCCGATGAGGCCGGCGAGAAGGTGGAGGTTTGCAGCTTTGCTGGGAAGAAGACAACCTCTGGAATCAAGCTGGTCAGGATGGAAGGGCACTTTTCCTTTCATTTCAAGCTCCAAAAACACCATTTTTTTTGTTCTGCTGAATTGCCCAAATAATTAGAATAGCAAGCTACCATATCCATAACGGACGCTTCTTTATATATATATATATATATAGTTGGTAATGACTATTAAAATCAACAAAAGTGATGCCTCATGACCTACCATTAACTTGCTACCATAAGGCAATAATGAACAATCATATTCGTGACGAAGAGTATCGATCCATAACCTGAGGGGGCCATCGAAGAGTATCGAAAAACATAGGAGACAAATAATTCAGCTTTCTTATCCTCAAATAATAGAAATAATTCACAATATATAGCCTAATATGTGAATCTGTAAATAGAAAGAAAGCTATAAATATTAGGGTATAATTCGCCTAATAAGAGGAAAGAAAATTGGGAAGGAAAATAAATTGGATATGAATGCAGAAATAATCCCTTTCCAGATCAGTTAGGGGATTGCACATAGCAATGCAATGGCTGCAGAAGTATGGAGGTCTTATTACTTTAATTACTTATCAGTATTTAGTTATTTTAATTATTTTTAATTTTTTTTATTAATTTTTAATTTAGTTAATCTATTGTTGATTTGTCAGATTCATTATTTGAATTGTTAACTAATAAATAATATGCAAGTTATCCTAATTTTTTTTGGCTATTTGATTATGCTAATGGATGATATGCAATTTATTTGCTTTTCACTAATAATATCCTTCTTGTGAATAAGAGTAGATAAAGAGTTCATGAAAAACATGAATTATGGAGATCAACTTTAGAGTCTAAATGATTTTGTTTAGACAGTTTTAAAACTAAATACATGGAATGTCTTTTAGTAGTAGTAGATTTAGTGGCGGAGTTATAACAATGAATGATCGAGTCATTAAAAGGATCAGACGCTTTAGTTATATCGGATCTATTATTCAAAGTGATGGAGAAATAGATGGAAATGCTATTAGTAGAATTCACTTTGGATGGTTGAAGTGGACGAATGCATAAGGCCTATTGTTTGATAAAAAAGTATTGCTTGGACTTAACAAGAAAATTTATAAGATGGTAGCGTGACCTTTAATGTTTTATGGCACAAAATGTTGGCCTATAACAGAGAAGCATAGATCTAGGTGTTGTTGAGATGTGAATGCTTAGATGGATGAGTGGCTTTACACTTAGAGACAAAATACGAAACAAATGTATCCGTGAAAAGATTGATGTAGCTTTAGTGACAGACAAGATTAGAGAGTCTTCTTAGATGATTTTTTCACATTAAACGTCGACCATCCACTGACCTAATTAGGAGAGCTGATGTTTTAGATTTGACTCGTGTTAAAATAGGTAGTGGTAGTCCTAAAAAAACAAGTATTTATTAGAATTAAATGAAAATATGACACTCAATAGAACTCGATGGAGAAAAAGGATTCATATAGCCAACCCCACTTGTGGAATAAAGGCATGTTGTTATTGTCCTTGTTGATTATTTTAATCAATTTTTACGTCATTATTATTTGATATTAAATTAACTAATTTGTGTTTTTTTTACTTATTTTTAAGTTAATAGCTATTTAGTTAGTTCCAACTCAATTGTTAAGGATTATATCATAAACGGTAGAAAGTTGAAATTGGGAAAATTGCTTTTCAATAAGAAATAAATTAATTTAGTTATCCATAAATTTATTTTTTAAAAATTCTACTAATTCACAAATAAAAAAAAATTAGCATCATTTATTATTATTACTTACGAAATATATTCTCTTTATAATAATGAAATATTAAAATATAAAATATATTTAACTTTAAATTAAAATCAGAGAAAATGCCTAACTCTTAGAATTTGAATCCATGACCCATCAGAGGTGACTCGTGCTCTATTATTAAAATTCTATTTATTTTTTATAAATATTAGGAAAATTTACATGCATAGCACCCAATTAGTAGCATTTTCCTATCTCAAACTTAGGGCCCGTTTGGGGCAGTTTATTTGGTGTGGTGGCGTTTTGAAAATGCACCTCGCATGTTTGGGTAAATTGTGTTTAGGCGGCTTATGCGTTTTGAAAAAGCTGAAAACAGCGTTTTAACATTGCACCTATCGAAGTTAGGTGCGGTGACAACTTTCTGGCAACGGTCTGACTTTTCCAAAAAAATAAAATTTTGTAATAGCTAACTCACATAACTTATCAGCAGATTATTTTTAATCAACTTATTAGCAGATTATTCAATAAGCTGCAGCTGCCCCAAACAGACCATTAATCAAAGTTTGGGTGTGAGATACGTAAATACATAAGAATTGGGTGCTATGTATGTAAAAATCCCCAAATTTTAATAAACATTGCTTTAAAAAGTTTACCAATTATTGATAGACCAATCAATAATGCTATGAACATGAAGATTGCATGAGGTCCAGATGAGCAAATGAGATGTTGAACACATCTCATTTTCAACTATGAACATGAACATGAAGATTGCATGAGCCAATTCATGACTAGACGGAGTCAGACTCATCAACTCACAAATTTAATCTACGAGTCAAATTTGAGCCAAATCCACGTAGGTGCACTTATCGCCACCTCACCACAACCTGACGACACAAATCTAATGGCTTATCAATTGGCCCCAAGTGAACATTACCATGCAATTCACTAAAGCCACCTATGTGTTTGCCTCAATGACAAGGTTGGAGTGCACCTCCCTTGATTGATGACATCTCTCCTTAATTATAATTAAATATTAACTAATACATACTAAAAACATTTAGGGTTAATTTTGATTCCATTAAATTCATTAATCTCTTTGCATGTATTAGTTGCATAATAATTAAAGAGTTACTTCTCAATTATTGTATCACTTTAATTGCATATTTTTAATTTAAAAATTTAAGACTTTCATGTGTTACATCTGGTCAGCAACTCAGCATCATATTTAAAATTTCAATCTTTAAATCAAAAGTAAAATTGAGGTATTAAATATATAAATACATAAGAATTTGGTGGTATATTTATAAATACCCTATACAAAACTGTTGAGAATTTTGGGGCAAAAAAACGCAAGAATCGACACAAATCTAGAAAGAAACGCATAGATTTAACGAGGTTCCGTAAAGAATGTCTACGCTATTAACGAGGTTCCGTAAAGATGTCTACGTCCTACGGAGTAGAGCAGTGGCTTTTCTTTCAATTCAGAAAAAAAAGAGTACGAGATCCCTAGGGTTACAAATAAGACATGTATATATATAACGCTGACATATAATATGTAATTACAAAATTACTCATGTACCGTACTACAGAGCGGTTGCCCCTGCACCCCCAACCCACATAATGAAACTCTCCTGATTAGACAGATGCTTCCGCTCGCGAGCTCCACTCCGTGGCTAGCTCCGTTGAGCTCCAGTATCTGTCTCTTATCTGTGGGAGTCATATCTAACAATAACACAGAAGGCATACAGACTTCATGTATTTCTACAGGTCCAAAGACACCATCAACCCCATCATCTCCAAGAGTCGCCTGCACCTGAAACACTCTCTCCGATTCAATCCACTTGCTCCCAGCAACCGTAAACCTCACTCTGCCGCCGCTCCCAATCCTGAACCGCAGACTCTCATTCACAAACTCCGGCTCCTCTTCCACCCTGCCGTCATATCCATAACCTTTCATCTCCTTCTCCGACAGAAGAATGTCCTCCATAGGCCCATATTTCAGAACCGCTCCCTGTTTCAGAACCTTATCAACGGTGCCGATAAAAATGTCACCTTTGACGGGTTTAATGGCGATGCAGGTGAAGGTTACGGGTAAGATGATATCGCCGGTGGGACTGTGAACTTCTCCTTCTCCTATGGATTCGAGCGTGTGGACTGCGAGATAGTAGCCTTGTTGCTCGGAAGCTTTCCGGCAAGTAAGGTCTTCGAGGAGGCTGAGCATTACAGCTTTACGAACAGCAAGATCTTTGGGAGGACGCTGAGAGGGATTGATTAATACCACCTTTCGTTTCATTTCGAACTTTAAATATACCATTTTTATTAACTGTGTTGAAGAACTGAAATCATAAGAAAGAGGGATTCATGAACTTCTGAAAGTTTAAAAATGGCGGTGGTAGAGGAAAACACAGATTTTTAATCAAAAAATCATTTTTTTTTTAAAGTTTCTTTTGTCATTTCTGAGTTTTGAGAAGTGCAGGAGAAGAGTAGTTTGGCTTTACTATTTACAGAGCATGGGGAGGATGCAGAATTTATAGCCTGAGATGTGAATCTAGAATGGAAAGAAAGCTATAAAAATTAAGTTGTAATTAGGATGAAAAATAGGAAGAAAAATTAAATGGAGAGAATGTATAGACATAATTAATCCCATTCTAGATCAGTTAAGGGATGGCACATGGCGATGCAATGGGGGTGGTTTAGGTGAGCTCAGCATTACTCATTGCCGAGAAAATATTACGTACATACATTATTGTTAGCGTGGTGCAATCATGTCGTCGTCCGCAAGTGCGGATGACGGACCTAACACACCGAACTCCTAAACTTTTATATTTATATTTATAACATTCTAAATCTTAGCATCTCATTCAAAATATCACATTAATAATATTTTAAAAGTGAAATGCCCATTTTCATCTATATGTTTATGAAATCAAATTGTCATAAGGGTAAATATACTTATAAATACATAAGAATTGGGTGCTGTACATTGTTTATCTTAATTAATCCTTAATTACATAAATTTAAGAGAAATTTGAGCATCCTAATTATTATTCAATGCAGCAATTGTCCCACACATTTTATAAATCAGTTATATCATTATATAAAATATTATGATTTATTATTCTCTGCTGAGTTATTTACTAATTAATTTTCAGACAAAATAAATAGAATGTCTTTATTACTATTAACAACTGGTCAGTATTTGGTTAATCTAAGTACCATCTAATTCACTTAATTAATTGTTGTATTCATTAGATCTATTACTATTTAGTCTTAATTAATTATTTTAATTTATAACTAATCAAAAAATATGCAATATATCCTTATTTTTAGTCCAATTGATAATTTTAATCAATATTATATAATCTTTACTTAGTTTAAGTTACCAGCTATTTAGTATTTTCTAGCTAAATTATTTTATAAGGGAGATTGATTGTAAAATTAGTTAGTTAATATTTATTACATAAATACCCCTGTAGTATTATAAAATTTTGGTTTTATAAATTTAATTTACAAATTAGAAATTTACATGCATACAATAAAATTATTATTATGTACTTACATATCTAATATCTAAACTATGATTTTTTTTAACATTTTATTAAATTTTTCCTGTGTATTTTACTTTTAAGGAATTAATAATAGGGATAATTTACATGTGCCGCCAAAGATTTGAGTGTTATAAATGTAAAAATTAAAATTTGGGCTTTAGATATGTATATAAATAATTAGATTTAATTTAAAATTGGTTCAAAATAAATTTTACTTATAATCATATATTATACTCATCATAGAGCAAATTTGATAGCTACAAAATCCATTCTAATCAAATTTAAGGGGCATTTACATACATACCTCCCAATTCCTATGTATTTACATTTTGAAAGCCCAAATTTTAATTTTTACATTTATGCCACTCAAATCTTATCACGTAAAAAATTCCACTACTATACAATTCTGAAAGCGAAAAACACCTTTTCATGCAGACAACCCTTTCACAAGTATATTTACAAAACACTCCTAGGAAATCTACATATTTCAACAGCAGGGCATTGTGTAAACTCAAGGGGCAATTACATACATACTGCCCAATTCCTACCTATTTACATATCCAACACAAAAACTTTGATTTTTACACTTATACCGCCTAAATATTTCATATCACATCAAAAATACAGCTTTTCGTGCACGGGTAAGATGGCATATATGTAAAAATTAAAGCTTTGATACATAAATACATAAGAGTTGAGTGGTATGCATGTAAATCTTCCTAAACTCAAATAGGTCCAAGGAAATCTCCTGCAAGAGTTGCCAGCATCTGAAAACATCTATCCCATTCAATCCACTTAATCCCAAGAACTCTGTACCTCACCTTACTCCCTCTCACCATTTTTGACTGCAGATTCTCATTCACAAACATTGCCTCTTCTTCCATCCTAAATTTGTAATCTTTCATCATCTTTGCTGACAGAAAAATGTTCTCCAATGGTCCAGATTTCAGAAATATTCCATGCTTCAGAACCTTATCAATGGTGCCATGTAAGATCTCACCCTTGTGAGGTCTCACAGTGGTGCAGCTGAAGGAAACAGGGAAAACCACTTCGCCGGTAAGGTCGTGAATTCGACCTTCTGCAATGGAGTCGAGAGTCGTGACTGCGACGTAGTAGCCGTGTTCCTTGGATGCTTTCAGATGAGTGATGTTGTCAAGGAGGCGGAGGATTATATTTTTACGAAGAAGAAGACCTGTGTGATGGAGTTGGTCAGGAGGGACTGCTACGTCTCGTTTCAATTCCACCTTCAAGAAAACCATTTTTCGTGATCTGCAAAAAAGGTGAAATTGTGAGAATACAATTTAGTAGAACTGGTGTAGAATGTAGATAAAGGTTTGGATGAGGCGAATAAGGATAAGCTGGACTAGAGGGAAGAAATGGAAATAAGAGAAACTAGATATGTGAAGAGATGGGGTACAGATTGAAAGAATGTTGATTTTATGAAATTTAACATGACTGAAATGATACCCTGCTCGTGACAGGATTGTATTATCAAAGCTGAGTTTATGAATATTGAAGAGAATTTGCAAAAGATGATGAATATGAAGAACATTTGGAGAGAGAAGCTTGTGTCATATGGTGGAGAGGATTCCATAAGCGGTCAGAAAAATGAGAATATGTTGGCCACTTTCAAGAAAAAACTGGATCCATAGATTTGATATTTGAAAGGTAAAGAATGCAATTTGCCTCTCCTATTAAAGTTAAGAGCCTTTTGGTTTGTTGAAAATGGAATGAAGTGTAAAGATAATGTATTGTATTTGGCATCCTTTGAATTTGTTTGGCTCAATGTGAAATAATGCACAATTTAACATTTCTTATTTGGTTTGAAGAAAAAATAAAATTAATGTAAAATAGATAGCCGAAGGGCGATGAATGATAGGTGATGAGTTACAGGTGGTGGTCCGCGGTTGGCGGCAGATGTTAGTAGGCTATAATGGTCAGTGGTTGGAGGCAACGGTTGGTGATGGCTTGCGATGGCTGCCGACGGCAAACCCTTGGTAATGGCTTGCGGCCATGTCGGGCGGGTAGAGGAGGCCGCCATAAATTGAGGTGGTAAAAGGCAGTGGCAACAAGCAACGATGGAATGCAACTCTTTACGCAAAGTGAAGTATTTGAAATTCACCCAAATCCAACGAATTCCAAATACATGAAATGGAACTAGAGAATGAATTCCAAATGTATTGTAATTTTACTCTACATATGGAATTCATCCAACCAAACACCCTAATTTCTAAAACTCCTCCAAAAGAAATATAGTGCACTCCTTTTGCAGCAAGTAAACAGTCCTTTCGTAACATTCTCACCACTAGAAGTTAGATCTTGGTTAACAAGACCATAACCACCAAGAGAATGGAAAAAAGCAACACTTGCCCCTTCCTCCAGTGACAATTAAAGCAATCGTAGAATAAACAATGTAGAATGTTGAAATTCACAAAGCAACTTCAACAGCAAGGTTCTTCAGTTATCTAAGCTAATGGAAAGTGATTGTGAAGGCCTACTAATTTTGAAGCAAACTATTAAGTATAATAAAACTATATCTTCAAAATCAATGTAAGAATTGGAAGCAGCAATTTTATCAACTTTGGTTTAATCCACCATGCGTACCTGGTCAATCACAACTCTTCACTGAGAGATTTTGGAGTCCATTTTTCAATCGAATGGCACATGATCGATTTGTAAAGTGTAGTAGTTTCTCAATGATGAACCACATATCCGCACATGAATCCGGATTAAGCACATAGGTAAGAATAGAGGCAGCTATGGTGAAATACAAAGCAGCAACCATATTCTGATCAATAAGAATCCAACAATCGTAGCAAATATTTAGAGGAATTTGACCAGTAGCATTAAAGACTTGTTAGGGCGGACAAACAGTGGATCGAGCAAGGTTGCCGTCAAAGCCTCTATCTTTAAAAATTTTCAGGATTCGACAATAAAAGAAAAGAACAATTAAGAGCTAGAAAACAATTCAAAGTTCTCTTTTTTTTTCGTTTTAAAATGCTAAAAACAATTATAAAGTTGGATACTATTGCAATGTATGATCAAACTAGAAAGAATGAGATCAAATGCAGACAGGGAAACGAATTCAGAACAACGAATATCGGAAAAAAGGAAAAAGCAGGAATATTTTCCTCACTTGCCGATATCGCAATTCATCTAATGCAGACTAAGTTCAGCCCCGAGTCACAAAAAATGAACTTTTTATTTGGATACAAATGCAGTAATGGTTGGTGAAAGGGGACTTACAGACAATGCTTGGCCGTGGGGGAGAGGCGTGGGTCAGTATGTGGGTTCTACCGTTAGGGTTTTACTCAAGGGGAGGAGTTCCCGGCAGCGAAGGCACGAAAAAAGATTAGTGTATTTACATATGTTTCGCCAAAATTTTCACATTTACATTTATAGCACTTTTTTTTTTTGATATCACACAAAAATAATACTATACATATTTTAATTCAGCTTTGCATAAGTACTATACATGTTCTTGGATCCAAATTTAACATGTGAATCATGACCACTGAATGAAAGTATAGAAATCTTGAGGGAAAGTTAGGGAGAGAGAGAGAGGGAGAGAGTGCACATCGATTTGCCCCTCTAAGCCAAATTGGGGCATTTCGAGATAAAACATCAAAAAACTATGGAAGAGAGACTCATTAAAGAAGAAGGTTCTAGAGAGAAGGGTTCAAATGCCCCTAATATATGATTTGGTCCTCCTATTTATAGGAGAAATGAACAAAATGTATAAGTACATGTTTTGCCACTACTTTAGAGAAATTGTATAGGTTATTATGGTCTTTTCGCTATCAAGTTCTTTTTGGTTGATAGGTCCTTTGGTCAGCAAGCTAAGCTAGTTTCAGTTGGCTTTCAAGTGGGATGTTTGGTCAGCTTTCAGGCAGCCAGTCGACTTGCCTAATTATTGATCATTGGCGATCTTTTGTTGATTTTTTGTGGAGTTGTTGAGTGAGTTTTGTGTTGATACTTGTTGGGTCATCAGAGGTACTAGACCTTTGTTTGGTCGTTTCTTTCAAAGTGATCGACGTGGATGCCTCTCTCTTGATGGCCTAAATGGCCCTTTGGTTGTCAAACTAGCATTCGATTGGTCAGCAGCCCTTTGGTCTGCTAGCAACCCTTCAGTTGGCTGGGTGGATTTTGATCGGCAAGGTTCGTGAGACCTTATAGCTTTTTATTATAAAGGGTCTCGTCATACTTCCCTTGATTTAGTTCATTTGATTGTCTCGGGATACATGAAACCTAATTTTTTGTGTGCACATTTAAGGCTCTGTTTGGCGCAGCTGTGGATTATTTATAATCTGCTGATAAACAGATTATTCTGATAATTTGATAATTTGCAGATTATCAGAATAACCTGACTTGCTGTTTGAGGCAGCTTATTCAGACTAGCTTATTGGTGGTTAAAAGACATTTATGCCCCTGTCTGATAAAACTGTTTGGGGCAGCTTATTAAGAATAGTTTATTGATAGAAAAGAAACATAGTGCAGAAACATACGATAATCACAGATCAGTTCTAAAAGATATCATACAGTTCTCACACCCTAATGAGTACTAGGAGAACTAAAAAAATTACAAATACAAGTACGACAACAAGGAGAAATATTAAAATATTCAACTTAAGACTCTGGCTACGCCGGTCCTCATCTGCACTATCAGCCGGAGAAAACATCGGATTCACGTGACTGCTGGCATGACTATTGTCAGTGTAATATGAGAGACTATCAGCCTACCGGAAGAAACCCTATGAAGATATTCAGCAGAAGAACCGAAAAAACTCACAAATCCAAAGCAATAGAAGTAGAGATATGGGAAAGAACCGAAAAAAATTCACCGATCCAAAAAATTCACGAATCCAGAGCGTATCTCGAAAAAACTCACAGATCCAGAGCGTATCTCAAAAAAAACCAACAACAAATAATCGTAGATCTTACCGGAGAGTATATGTCAAAGGGAAAAAGAACGAAATCGAGCCCTAACGCCAACAGAGAGTGATGCTTTCGATCGGAGAGGGAGGAGGCGAGGGGAGAGCGCGAGAGAGATCACCAAGGGCAAAAGAAGGAATTCGAGCTCTAACGCCAACAGCCAACGTCGAACGCAACTGAGGCCCCGCGATCCGGTTAATGAAGAAAAATGAATCCGCAGGCGCTGCGTTCAGAACGTCGTCGAGCGAACGCGCGAAACAAACGCGAGGGCGGCGTTCTGAAAACACCACCGCAAATGTATAAGCTATGTCAAACAGAGCCTAAATATGAAAGTTTAAGTGTAACATAAGTGACATGTATTTAAATTTCCCAAAAGTAAAAGAAAGATTAACATACATAACACTTAATTCCTACTTATTTACATATCTAACAACCAACTTTTTATTTTTTTGTATGTACGTGCTATCTTATTATGCATTCAAAGATGTCTTTTATCTTTTAAGTTAAAAATAATGACATTTATTCCGAGATATGAAAATTTTAGTTAGTAGTAATATAGAACGTAAATTTTAGGTGCTAGATATGTAAATAGATAGGAATTGAGTGGTATATATGTAAATGCTCCAAAATAGTAATAAATCTTTTATTTGATTGGTCCAAATCACATTAACACTTGCATTCAAATAAAGTTGACAACTTGAAACAAAAATAAAAAACACATTTTTATTATAATGAGCAACAAAATAAATAAAAATAAAATAAAAACCCACATACACACATAGTAAGCAAAACCATGATAATCTCAATCAAACAAAAGAAATCAAGAGAGGACTCCTCACAATATGCTTGTTGGAAACCCACCTGAGCTGCCCTTGCGCCACCGTTCCTCTCCTTTCTCCCACATTTCCTGTGCTGAAATATATATTAAAGCTCCTGCTCTGATTCATCTCTGAAAACCCTAACTTCTCCGGATAAACAGTCACCTCCACCCCTTCCGGAGCCCTAATTTGCACCGAATACACGGCCTCTTCCTCCCCTATGTTCCTCACAGTCCTCATCACTGTTTTCTCCATGTTCGAACCCATCGCCACTGAGATCGATGGGTAGTTCAGCTCCTCTGCAACGATAGTCTCGAACATCGAGCACTCCACCGTCTGTCGTGTAATGGTCGACACCTTGTCCAAGAATCAAACCAAAATTACATTTTTTAACAAATATTGACATTATTTCATATTAAAAATCCAAACTTTTTTATACCTGCTTATCTGTGTATCCCATTCCGCAGAGATACGGCACGTAATCTCCAGGTTGAAGATCATAGACCAGTCCCGGATCATCCGCTTTCGTAGGATTCACATGCCCTGCTCCAACGGCGAAGTATCCTGCTTCGCCGAGCGTTTCATCGACAATCACCCCTCCGTCACGATCCAACACGTCCGCCGTCGTCATCATCGCCGACTTTATCGCCGCCGGCGACCAATCCGGATGCGATAGCTCCACACCTGGCCCCCCCCCGCCCACCCCCGCCGCCGCTGCCGAACTCCCCGACACCATGTTAAACGTCGGCAAAGTCATGTTTCCGGCATCGAGCGCCGGCGGACCCACCGGAAATGGCCACGCCGCCGCCACGTTGACTCCTGGACCAACAATGTCTGGCTTCAAAATTCCCTCATTCACAGCGCTGGGACCACGGCCGGAGAAATCAGCTACCGCCGGCGCCGGCGATGAACCGTACACTGTCCCCTTGAAATGAATCGTGGCCGTCGGATTCGCCGTCGAGGCGACGT